AATATTGCAGAATATAAAAACAGTAAACAAAGCAGTAAACAACGCACTGTATGATCACGGAGAAATCCCAACTGGGTAAAAACTCTGGGACCAATCCAGTTACCTCCACTATAGACAATATGGAGTGAGTTACTGTCAAATGCTATCTAGCCAATTCTACTAGACTTCCCGATCTATTACCTGCTAATTCCAAGGTCTGCTCCAAAACCTGCTCCATGAACTGCTCCAAGATCCTCTTTAATTGTCTCTTCCCAGTGGAATTCTGAGAACTTGCTCCAAGGCCTTGTGCTCTTTCTCGCTTGTAGTCTAACCTCTCTCAACCTCCAGTAGCCTCTGAAGTTTAACTGGTAAAGTACATTCTTATGACCAATAGGAAGTAAGTGGTGTTTCAGATTCAATGGGTTTGATATTTTTCCCAAATATGCGGTTGCATAAACTTAAGAGTGAAATGATGAATTCAATGTATGAATAGGCTCTTGAATATGTTATAGAGAAGAGGCACAATGAACAACCACACTGATTTTCCTGCATAGGCTTGGATATTTATAGAAGAGGGTAATTAGGTTGAATGGGTAGGAAAAAATACTTCAAAATAGCAAAATATGATTTTTCGGATCAATCGTCGCTCGAGCAAGAAGCTGGCGACAAATGAGTGACGCACTGCCGCTCGAGTGAGAGCTTGGCGACGGCTGGCGACAAACATTCTATTTTTGTCACTCGAACACCAACTGGGCGATAAGCTAGTGAAAATGCGGCGCCATGTTTCTTCTCTTTTCATGCTCGAATCCTAGGCCTCATAACCCAATTTATACAAATTGTACCTTAGGTCCTTGACTTTTACAACACGTTACAAATTAGTCCTTTGTCCACAAAATTGCCAGCACTAAGAACGTAACAAACTCCCCATTTGAAATTCTGTGACAAAACTATACAATAAGTCAAGGAAAACTAAATACAAAATCTAAACTACCCAAGCTTCATTAAACTGATGTCTCTTGCATTCCTTGTTAAACCTGTTTCCTGAAATTCACAACTCAAATACCAGTGTGAAAGCACGTGATACATGAAATAATAAAATCATGAAACACATGATATCAACACTAGCTAGATTGAGACGTAACACTAATGTTAATCCAAACACCAACAAAACATTAGTATCACAAAAACATAAAAAACTCAAACAGTTAGGTAGATATGGTATGGAATGTAAGGCAATCAACAAATCTCCCCCTTCAATCTACTTCACCTTCAAAAATTTTAAAAAATTTAAAATTCTCTCATTCACAACATTTACTTTACTCTCCCCCTTTTTGTCACAAATGACGAAGGGACCGATGATTAAAAACTTTTAATATTAACATATAATAACTCAAAAATGCTGTTGTTAGCATGCACAAGTATAAGCAATGTACAATAAATCTTCCACATACTTAGTTTAAGTAAACATGAAGTAAATTGTAGAAGTGACCCATGTGTGTAAAGTGTTACTAATTTTTTGTAAGTAGGACTCTAAACCTTAATTCTGTGAGAAATGACATATTAAACATCACTGTCAATAAGTGTATTCTTCTACTTATGAAAGTTAAACCATTTAAAGCGCATTAGGACCTTTAAGTAAAATCTATTTTTGTATTGATATTTTCTTTTCTCTCCCTAATTTTGAGCATATTTTATTTTCACATCTTTCAATATTTTAAGCTCATAATTTTTTTTCACATATTAAGTGCAGACTCTTCTCCATTAAGTGACTAAAATAACCCTTGTAGCGAGTTTTAGGCCAGTTAGCCCAAGTCAGTTTACCATAAGCACTGGGTTATGAGAAATCCTGCAGACTTAATTGCTTGAGTCAAATAGACTCCGAAAAAGAATATAAAATATTGAGTTTTTTTATTATCGGGGATAAACTTGAGTTTAGGTCTAATAAATAAGGTCAATTCATGTTCAAAGTCACCTTACTAACATATGATTGTCATCTCAAATCTCACACACGCGGTTGAGTCCCACTAACAATATCATAGTGTGTACAGTGCAGATTGTATATGAAGAGACCTATATTAAATACTCCATACGCATCCTACACTAGCAATGGAAATTATATTACAGCTCACAAGATAATCTCACTCTTGATTAAAACCAACAAAATCAAGCGTATTGTATGTTATGAT